GCTCTCCTGAGATAAATGATTCAAACCAACACAACCTCTCCCCCGACCACCCAGGTGAGGATCAGGTCTGCCTTCAGTAGTGCTGGGGGAAGGAGGAGACTTTGGGGGTTGACCTCAGCCCAGAGGTATGGAGGCCTGTGAATTCAGCTGAAGAGAGATGCACATTGTAGATACCTTCGGCCAAAATAAAGTCTCCCATGCCGATGTCTGTCTGTAGTTCCAGGGGTCTTAGCTTTCTCAGTCTGTAAGATTCAGGATTCTGTAGCCATGAACTTAGAGTTTGGGGATAAAAATGACAGGATTGCCCAAAGTACTGAATTAAGCAGATTAGAGGCTGCCAGGCAGAACAGAGAAACTATTAGATGGGTACTTAAAATGGTACCTTTACTGAAACACTCCACATATTACAAAGCCATCTTTTATTCCTCTCAAGAGACTGTAATTTTACCAGCACAGTGTTATTAGCCTTTTCCTTTTCCCCACTAGTAATGTTCCTAGAGTTGGACGTCCTTGGATTTCTTGAGTCAGAATGAATCCCAGATGGCCTCCATTTCAAATAATCTGTAACAAGATACTATTTTGTTTCTCTTGGGTTTCCTTTCACTGTGATGGGGGAGAGAGGTTCTTTGGACAATGCTGATCTGAGCAGCAGCATGGTAGTTGCTAGAATGGAAGATACCTTCTTGGTTCCCACTCTGATGTAGTCTTGCCCTAGGAGTATTCTCTGCCCTGTCACACACGCCCTCACCTGTCACACACGCCCTCATCACGTGGATATGTATTCACCACAGACCTTTATCCTGTCCTCCCAAGAAGACAAAGCAAACAGAGGTACATGAAGCTATCTTATACAGAAAAATGTGACATTTGAACTTTGCTGCACAAGTATTGTATACAAAACAAGTCTGTAAACAAGTTTCTTATGTAAACATACAGGAAAATAAAGAATTTTATCTGTTAAAACAGGAGCATGATGTTCAGAGCTATAAATAAATAACTTACAGTAGCTGCTCTTTTCCTGATCTGAAAACCCACTTTTGCAAAAAGGATTTAAACACATTGTTGAGTGACCATAAGCACCTGTGCACAAGGAAAGTGCAGACACGTATGAGAGACGTGCAGAGGACGTTTTAATGAGTCATGGCTACCCCAGCTTCATCTGCGGTCATAGAGAATAAAACCCCTGTGAGCCTGCATTTGATATGACCAGACATGGAGCTGTAAAAGGGAGCACAGATTTGCAGCTACCCTCCTCTAATTTAATCTTTAATATACCCAGGCCAATTTAATTAAACATTTTATGTTGGCAACAGCAGTTTTATGCCCAGGGAGAAATCTCTCTTGTTTACTTGCTCCATTGGCTTGGGAGACCCAGCGTGTCTAGCCAGTGTTGTCCCCCATCAAATACCTTATTCTCCAGGCGTGGGTTTTAATGCAACTCCACAGCATATGGTAGAACCCGATGCTTAATTTTATTATCTGAGCAAAAGGTCATGGAAATTATTAGTTTGATGTACATCTCCTGATTCCCTGATTCAGCTCTGAGAGTGTGAATTTCATTTGGTGCTACATTTCTGAAGTTCTTGTAAAGGGTATTTTGCTTTCTATTTGCTAACTATACGAGAAGGTTTCCCAATACTCCAAGACTTCACCTTCAGTTTGGGGCAAGAATTATGTCTTTGACACTCCCTATAACTTATTTCGCTTTATAGTATGGGAGAAAGTAAAATTCTGGTCATGCATGATATATTGCACTCAGGAATATCCAGCCTGAAATTTAAGTCGTCAGATTTTCATTCTTTTTTAGGAAACACTGACCCTCACTGTCCATCAGATAAAATTTCCATGGTAAACCTATTCTAAATTATTCAGCACTTTGGGTTGCTTTGGAAATTAATAGGGAATTGGTGAGGATAGTTGCCAAAGCATCAAATACTTTTGAGGATGCCTTCTTTCTGAAGCACATAAGCTCTTACTGAAATCGGCATTAATTTGCAGCCTCAAAATAGACTAAAATGGAGTTATTCCTAGTGGACTGTCAAAAAGTGTGCTTAACCTTAACCTGGCACACAGTCCTACATCAGAGCAAGAAAAAGAAGTGTGTTTTGACGTCTTGCTTAATTTAATGTGCTAAAGCAAAATGAAAAGAGACATGACTTAATTTGAGGAAATTAGAACAAAATGCCCTACCTTAAGCTTCCTGATAAGGAAGACCCTTATGCTTGATAAGGGAGACCCTGACCCTGTGAGGCCAGGTCCCAGGTTTAAGCCCAACACCCCCCCATCACTCCCCACCCCTACCCCAAGAACAACTGGCTAGCTTTATTGAGTTTTCTGGTCACAGGGCATCTGCTCTGCATGCCATTGGTTTCCAAAGGAACTGGGCCAAGGCACTGAGGTTAAATTAGTATAAATCTTTCATTGCAAGTAGGCAGACTGCTTCCAACATGTTTTTCTGACAGTACAAGGCTATATTCATATACAAGGACTGTTCACCCTGAAAATACATGCTTTCCCTCCCTGCAATAACACACGCATATTCAAAAAAAAAAAAAAAAAACCCTCTAACTGCCAACAAGATTTAATGTCTGTCTTCTGTTTACAGTTATTTAGAATCTGTCCTTCTCTTGACTGCTTTGTTTCTTGTGCCGCCACCACCAAAATTCCCTGAGGGAATGTGGATGTCTGTGTGCCCCATACCCACTGCGTGTCTTTGTTCTCCAAAACGCCAGGCTTGGAGGGTTACAAAGGGTGGTTGCTCTCAGCCTTGGTCATACTGCACCTCCTCTAAAAAGAATGGAAAGGTTAAGAGATCTGGCCTTCAAGGGAAAATCCGTTAAAGGTGCGTTTCCAATCCTATAGAGCAGATTCATGTTCAAAGAGAGAGATGAAATAGGTCTGGCCTTGTTTTGAAGGACTGGAGACTAGTTCTCCTTTCAAACTTGATGTTATAGTATTTTTGTGACTATATAAATTTTTAAAAGTTGTCGCAATTTTAGGTGTGATTTTTCCTACTCATCATGAAGGTCATAGAATATGCTCTGAGTTGGCAGATTTACAGTTGACTTGACCAAGAGCTCACTTTTAACGTAAGTAATTTAGATAGGTTAGGAATGCCCTTCTAGCCTGTCTGACTCTGGACATGGGTACCCCTACTTGGTACTTTACAGCTCTCACAATGTACTCTAACACTGCAGGCATCCAAGATGCCCTGCGTTCTATAGGCAGCTGCTTTTTGGAGGTCTGTGCACACAATTTGATTTGACTACATTCCATTTAAATTTCCCCAGAACACTAGCTTCAGTCAAACTAGTGCTCATTTTCATTATTGGTTCCTATGGTGGCCAGAGTTGGTCATGACTAAATTTGCCAGTTTTTTCCTGAGAGATATTTTGCTCTCCCACAGAACCACATCAGCTTTTTAGGGTGGTTTTGGAAGATCAGAAGTCATGACTTAATTTTGGGAACTAAAAACTGTCCAACTGATACTGTGTTAGAAAATGGTTCAAGGAGTTTTGGGGGCCATTCATACCACTTTGCTCAGCAAATCTTATCTTGGAAAACTTCTCTGCCCCATTTCATTTGAATTTCCCCCCAGACATCGTCATCTGGGAATCACTGTGACAGAACTCACATCGATATACTTGCCTGAGAGATTAGAGTTATGTCTTTCCACATATATTGCAAAGGAGAAGGTGCTCCGTTTATTTCCTGTCCCCTGACTAACGCCTTCCTATCACCATATGGGTGCACATACTGAAGTTATAATGCAAGGAAACATTTATCCTCTTCAGAAAGCCATTTGGCACCAGTACAGAATTTAACTTAAAGACTCTGTAATTTGGAATTCACCAAATACATTCAGAGTTCTAGAAAGAGAAATAAAAATGATGGCGGGGTGGGGGTGGGGACCCACCTTTTTTGTTTCTGAAAACAATATTTAAGGTCAGAACTGTTTAAAAAGAAGCACTGCTAAATACTTAACAGGATTCAGAGAAACATAGTATTTTTGTACAGTATCTTCTAAAATGTTCAGATCTCTCTCTACATCTCTTTACAATGTAATGCCTCTAAGTAACTGGTTTCCCAATAAATTGATTTTGATGCCGCTTCTGCTGTGTTCTGTGTGATTAATTCAAGCAGAAACTTTAGCAGGGGAAAATTGTTAGCAGAAGTTTCTACTACCTAATGGTTTCCTTAGAAGGGAAGAGGGTAACGTGGGGAGGGGATGATTGAATTTCCACTGTACAGAGGTTCTGAGTCATCTATAAGAGTCCAAATCATGGTACCTATAATTTCTTACCCTGGTGGGTTGGGAAACCCATGATGACGTGATATCTCTACCCCCAACCACGCTTTTCTCTGGATTCTTCTTGCTTAGTTACATATGCCTTTTTCCTGCCCTCTTGCTAACATGTGCCCAATGACATACTTCCAACCTGCTAATATTTCTTGGAAGGTAAGCTCTCTTGCATTCTGATAATTGTCTATTTGATTTTAAAAGCCAGAGCACCCTGAGGCACCTCTACCTAGATAAAAATAGATTCGTTTATTAGAATTTGCAAATACTTCTGTAATTACCTGTGCATTTTACTCCTTCTGCTTAAAGAACTTTATGATGGATTCATTTAAGCAGAGGAGATCTTTGCTAACTTAGAAGACTGAAAACAAAATTCCAGGGCAACTCTAGCTGAAGGTGATTGATTTAATATAATTTTGATTATGTCTCCTCCCCTTAAAAAGTGCCTTCAGTATTCATATTTGAGGCACTCTTGTGCTCTTTGAATAGTGCTTATAATGTAAATCAACAAGTAATTTTGCGTTTATCAAGCAGCCGCGTTCTGCTGCTTTGGCG